AATGTCGAAATATGATAATTTATTATTTGTATCATGTTTGTTACTTGAATTTTCTCGTGACTTTAGTGGAATATTCAGAGACTCACTTTGTTTTTGTGGCTGTAACCACACCGATAAATTTATTTATTGAAATTCCAGTAGGTACCTAATTGTGCAAATTTTTTACAGTGCAGTAATATCATCTATGTCGAAGTATATTTTCGATATAGGCATAAATAAATTTTGGTTGCCATGAGTCGGAGTGGATATTACTTGCCTACGTCAAAAAATCATTTTATATATAACTGAAATCTAGGGGTTTTATTTTCGGGTGTGTATTCCAATGAGGTAAATCCATACCGGCAGCAAAAACAGAAAATTATTCACGATAGAAAAATAGATAAGGATTCTTCAAAAAGAATATTTTCCAAAGAAATTGTTGACTTTCACAAATTCTGTATTAGTAATAATTTTTATTACGCGGCGAAAGCTGCACTTCAAAGTTGACTTGGAAACGACCGCTACAAAAGGTATTTTTTCAAGTATCAATTTAAAAACACTACGGTGAAGAGAAGTTTCCTGAGTCCGGTATTTCGCTTCCAGTTCATTTTTTGACAGATATGCTCAATGACACCGTAATCGTGTCTTGTATTCACCAAATTTACCCCCCTGTGACTTTTTCCTGTTTCCGAGATTGAAGATACCCATGAATGGGCGGCGTTTTTTGACAATTGGGGAGATGAAAATCGAATCACTGAGAGAGCTCAAGGACATACAAGAAAGTGCATATCAGAACTGCTTCGCGGATTATAAAATACGCTGGCACAAGTATATTATATCTGAGGCGGGCTACTTTGAAGCGGACAAAACACAAGCTGATGAATGTTTCTTGAAAAATATGAAAATTCACTCTATTTTTTAACAGACTTCGTACACTTATTGCATGATAGGTAAGGAATAGTTCAACTAGGTATATATATATTCTTCCTTGAAATTAATTATGGGAGCACTTTCTGAAGTTTATTTCTTTCTATTGCGGATAGAACTCACTAATCGGAATTTAACGTCCCTTCTTCGTGTCGACCTACTCGATCTTCATATTTCGAACAACCTGCATCAGCGGCTCGTGAAAGTAGAATATAAAGGCATCTATCGAATAACAAACATGTTACATTACAAATGATATTAACAAATGAAATTAACCACAGTTTGAGTTTGATCACTCTTTTGGTTGAAAAAAGAAACGAGTTTCTGAAAAAACAGATTGATTCATCTAATACAAGGCGAATGAATTTTTATATCTTTGAATGATATTAAATCATATAAATTTATCAAAAAGAAAAGTTCTGACATAGTAGTTTCAAAACATTTCAGGAAATCTGCTCTCAAGTTTAATAAAGGGCAAACTGAAAAGTTACCGCGTGATATAATATATTTTCAATTATTTATTTCAATCATAAACAATATATATTAATACGACAAATAACTGGCTAATTAGACTTTTTGATGGTTTTTATTAACTTTTCAGTTTGCCATTCATACACTTGAGAGCATATGTCCTGCTAATCTATATTCATTTATTTTTCTGATTGTGGACGGTTAAGAAGTCAAAAAATGTGAAACATTGAATCCTCCATAAAACATAAGTTTATTATTCATAGTGCACCAATTTAAATTTTTTTAAGTTCTCATATTCATCTCAGATAAAATAATTATTAAAATTATTTTGAGTCACGAATATCTTGTAAAAATCATACCTATTTGTTTTTAATTGTCGGTCTATTGATTGTGAATTATATAGCAACAAAAAATAAAATGGTAGGAGTTGCTTTTTTATATTGCAGATTGTTGTGAGCACCTTTTGAGATGTACAAAAATTAATTCACAAGACAATTTACAAGCCAATATTGTTCAGCTATATTTTCAATAGACAGAAATAAAATTTTTGAACTCATTATTCATCGTAAAATATCAGATAGTATTTGTTGTTCAATGTTCATAGATTTTTTCGCTTTTCGATGCTAAAAGAATATTTTAGAACAAGATTTCATATTATATACTACGTCGAAGTTTTTCGTTTTAGTAAAGTAATATGATATATTATATCATATTCATCTTGTATTAGGTGAATTGAACGGTTTTTAGGAACTGTTTTATTTTCTTTCAGCCAAAACACTAATTTATTGATATTTGTTATAAACAGTTGTAATGTACCGCACCTATTATTTGGTACTAGTTGCCTTTATATTCTACTTCCACGAGCCGACCATGTGGTTTGTAGGTGGTTCATAATAATATTGAGTTCGAGTAGGTTAACACGCGAAAGGGACGATAGGCGCGTTTCAAAGGTGGAAAATATCCAAAGAAATCCACTTAAAAAAAGCACTTTCATAATTGAGTTTCAACGAGGTGCATGTAGTTACTCCTTGCATATCATGCAGTAAGTGCCAAATCCAATAACTGCTCTATTTCAAATATATTCGTAATGAAGTCGATCAACCTCGACTACTTCCGAATACCCTCGGCACATTAACTTTGCAGAAGACGAATAGATTAGAGTTTTCTTCGAACTTTATTTTGCCTCAGATTCCAGTTCTACATCACGGTATAATATATAATGAGATTTTTCAGCATACGTAGATGATACTAACAATACCGACTCATTTTTAAAAAATATTAGATTTACATCTCACCGACGAATATTTGGTAAAATTATCTTAAATATAAGAACTCGCTATTATCAAGAGGGAAGGTACGAGTCTCTCAGTATAGAATATATTATGATGTTTGTAATTCTGATCCCTCCTTGCATTATTATGAACTACTAATTAATTGCTTCGACTGTAGGGGCTGCTTTGACCTTCCTTTTGTTTTTTTAATATCAAAATATCTCATTATTTGTTTGTTATTTGAATCTTTTCGTGACTTTTTAGTGGAATATGAATATATAAATTGAATTGGAGATCTACTACTATTAAAAAGCGGATCAAATTAGAAAAGTATCTGATCGATTATGTTTTTTAACTTCATTATTTTATTTGTTGTATCACTGCGATGCTCAAAGTCAATACACATAACAAAAGTGTAACTGCCCTTTTTCTGTACATAGAAAGTAATAAAGATAAACTATTATTGGGGATCTTTTTTTTTTCGCAATAGAACCCAAACAATGATTTCTATGTTTGTCTGTGCGTACTACTTAACCGGTTATATACAGTGTGGTCCAACGAAAACTTAACACCTCGATTTTCCGGCGTTAACATGAAAATGTGGAAAATCGCTCGAACCCGTCAATTGCTGATTCGAGGGGGAACAACTTTTCCGCTGTTTTCATCCCCGTGACTTCAACCCCCTAACGGGGGTGAGCACAACCCCTTGATTTTGAATAGGGATGAGGGGTGTTGAGATACCTCATTTTGAAGATCTTATCGTGTACTATCTGCCCGTAAAATTTC